TTCGCATCCAGGCACTTGGGGTGTCGCAGAGAGATTGCGGATTGCGGTTGTGGTGTTGTGGCATAATTAATTGGCGTAATTTAATTTCTTTCTGGTCACAATGACCGGACCGGTGTTTTTCAAATCTCCACAGGATCAGGCATGGCATATCCGCATATCCCCGTTGATGGAACCATTGACTCTACACCTCTACACTCTACACCTCTACAGACTCTACACTCTACACTCTACACTGCTACTCTGCTACTGCTACTAGTTATCACACTGCTACGCCACGCCTCTACACTCTACACCATCTCTGTCACTTACGCAGCTGTGTGTATGCTCGAGAAACGAGAATTTTAGGTGCGGTTGCAAGTTCAAGGGCCCCCTCAACTACATGTTTTCCCAAGAACGACAGTGTTCCATGAGATTGTAGTCGTATTCGTAGTAGAGTAGAGTAGAGTAGAGTAGAGTAGAGTAGAGTAGAGTAGAGTAGAATAGAGTAGAGTAGAGTAGAGTAGAGTGCAGTGTGTAGAGTGTAGAGTCTTAGGTCATTAAGTCTTAGTCCTAGTCACTAGTCATAGTCTTAGGAGAGTGACTTCGGAGAGTGTTTACTTAACTTGAGCTGCGCAAGTTCTGGCATGGGCTGGGGAAATGGCGTGGCTGGTTTGGTGGATTCTGTGCGCAGTCTCAGTTCGTCTGCAGCTGAGCCGCCCCCGCAGCGGCCGGTCAAGCCGAAAGGGAGCCATGCATTCCGGCGCATTGTGAGGCAGGCAGCAGCAGACGCTTCAGCAGCAGCCGACGCAGACTTGCAGTTAGCGCGTGTGGAAGACCGAGGAATTTCGTACGCTCGAACGTTTCGCAAGAAGCCTAGGTCTGGTTGTCACACGGAGCTTCAGAACTTTGCTGTGCAGTGTCGTGACATTGGCTCAGATCTTCAGAAGGCAGTGGCCAAAGCGGCAGCGCAAGGGATTTCTGTTGGGCAGGATGCCGACGCAGTCGCTGCCAAGGTGCTCTTCGATTTCCGGCCAGTGAGCTCCGGCACTGCAGAGGCACATACTGAGAACGTGTCCATTTCAACCTTGAGCCGAACACTGAACGCTGCAGCGGCAGGTGTTGTGTTATCTTCTGGTTACTTGTTGGGCTTGCTTATCTGCCGAGTGTTGGATGCTATCAAGAGTGGTCGCCACGAACTGATTTGCGTTGTTAAGAAGCGTCGATACGACGAGACGCCCTGCAGACTCACACTCAAACATACTGACGGTTGCCGTGAGCATGGCACTGTGGTCAAAGTTCTGCAAAGCGAGTTTTCAGTTGGGGTCTTGTTTCGCTCGACCGACACTGGATGTCTGGGCCTGGTAAAGTGCCAGTTGCCAGTTCCACTGAAGCCGCTGGAGAACAACAGCGCGGAAGCCATCTTCAGAGCGCAAACAGAAGTGGAACAGCTTGTTCCTGAACTTCTACGCGTAGGTGGTGCCAGCCGACACGCGTTCTCTCTAGTTAATACTGATTCGTATGCAGCCAATTTTTGCGCTGAGCGCATCATGAGCTCGACCGGCCAAGCAGATAGGTCTTACACCAAGTCGCACTACGGGTGTGACGTGCACCGTCTTCACTCTTGCATCAAGAAGCAGATGGGGCTTTTGCCGGGCCACATATCCGCTCTCATCAATGCAGCTTTGGCAGCTCAGCATGCCGGCAGTACCCGGCACATGCGACAGGCTTTGGCAGAAGTTCTCGAAGGCAAACTGGTTGTGCGAGCTGGACGCCCCACTGAGCACAATGCACAGCGCCTCAAACAGGTTCTCGACCTCTTCTTGGCGCGCAGTGTGGCCAGTGATGACAAGCAGATGAGCCGGGCGCGTCGCAGGCGCTTGGTGCAACGTTGTGTCATCTCTTTCTTTCTAAATGGAGACACAACAAACCAGGATGAGGTCGTTTTTTGGAGTCCAGTGCTTGGGCTGACAAAATCAGTTGTTCTGGAAGCGATGCTGCAGTTCTTGGTCCCGGCCCTCATCCCACGAAAGCCGCCCATCTTGTCACGCAAATCGTGGTGTGGCGTTCAGGACGCGGTGGATTATTTTGGACTACTGACATCCCTCCACAATCTCTTCCATCCGATGATTATGTGCTACACGAAGCAGAAAGTGCCTTAGCTTAGCCGCCTTAGCCCTAGCCGCTAGCCTTCGTTTCCGCAAGTTCTAGTAAGTCAAGTATTACTTTAGGGACGATTCAATGGTCTGGGTTCTTTCATCTGTTGACTGTTGAACTTCGGATTCTTGATTCTTGTTTGTTACGGCTAGTTGGCGGCTGGCTACGTCGTACGTATGGTCTGACACTCACAGCAGTACCAGGCGACGATGCCACAGGTGGTTCCTCTTGCTGGAGTCCGTGCCCGCAGTGGTTGGGCCAGAGTTGCAAAATGCTTGGAAGATCAGTGCGATGAACCGGCTGCTGAAGCGAGTGCTGATGCTGGGGTTGATTTTCCCGACCTGGACCCACTTTCCCGTCCGCAACCCGCGCGGCGGGCAGATGCAGACGTCCAAGCTGGCGAAGGTGAAGCTGTGGAGGGAAATGAAACCGATGCCCGGGATGGTGATGTGTCTTGGGCAGAGTACAACCGGCAGCTCCGAATGCGTTTAGTTGCATGGGCAAGATCCAACCCTGGCAATGTTCTGCTGGTTCTTCGGGCAGCCATGATAGCACCGCTTGAACTTCTGGATGACTTGCTGAAGAAGTCGGGTGCCAAGTGGGAAATGGAGCAGAGGCTTTTGGCCATGACCACGCAGCAGAGAACCTACGTGGCGTTGGAGGCTGCTCAACAGACATCCCTCAGAGCCTTCTTCTCTTCGCTGAATTCAGTCTTTCACGAGGCAATGCTGTACATGCTGTCTGATGGCAAGACACGTGTGTTCCAGACCCTGCTGTTTCGCTTGCTCGCAGTTGCTGGGGCTTCTGTTTGCTTCTACATCCAGATTCCATGGTCGGCGTATCCAATCAAAATGTTTCTGGCGTCCTTGGGCCACACGGATGTGCTGACAGATCCGGAATGTATCCTCTGTCCGCTAGCCCGGAGATTGAAACTCGGCATCTGTCATTAGCAGCGCTCAGCACACATCTCAATTTAGTGAAGTTTTCCGGCATTAATTTTTGACCATGAGGAAAGAGTGCTATCCGGAGACGGGGCTCTTGCAAGAGGAAGCCCAAGCAGTGATTCAAACACTTCTCTCATTCTTTACAATGGATATAGCGCAAATTGAGTCACGGCACTCGAGCAATCGCCGTGTGATCACCTTGAAATCTGTCCAGGTTGCGCGGCCAGATGTGGAGCGCGTGTCTGCTGAATGGATCCTCCGCAGCAACTACCTCCGTGCTCAAGAGGTACGGGGACCTAGAGAGTCAGAGGAGGTGACAACTGCGAAGAAAGACAAGAAACATGCGTCCTGGGGATGGACGTGGCGAGCTTTTCTTAGCGACAAGCTGACTGGCGAGGCATTCACGGCAGAGAACATGGGCCGACTGTCTCAAGAGTACAAGGAGCTTGCGCAGAGTGAAATCGAGCATTATGAGAGGCTGGGCCGGGTTGCACAAGCTGCAGCAGAGCGCGGGTTCCGGGGCTTGCCGAAGCACAGGCCTGCTGCAAGTTTGCAGCAGCAGCAGCAGCAGCTGGTCGCGGTTTCAGCAGACACGCTGACGGTGGATTTGGTTGACAGTCTGGCAGCGCTGCGTCGTGATTGCAATGCAGAGGCTCGGGAACACAAAGGCCGCGTAGGGGCAATGTCAGAGCAACTTGCTGCCCTGCGCTTGGATGATGGTAGCTTACAGCCGGCTGTGGGCTCTATCCCTGATTTCCAGTCAGCTTGTCGGCCTGTGCCTGTGCCTTCAAAGTCAAAGTTTGCTCAAGCGGATGTGCACATGCCGGGTGACCTCATGGTTCAGTCTGCGCTGGACTACACCGTAGCAAAGCGGTCTGGCCTGAAGGACCGGGTGCTGGGACTTCGTGTTTGTAGGCGGCTCCACTACTCACTCAGTATCAGTAACAGTAACAGTAACATGCAGTTAGTTTCTTTCCAGCAGTTTTGTTAGTGTTGTCAGTTGTTCATTATGTCATTATGTCATTATGTCATTATGCCCATAATCATTGAGTCCACTATGTCGTGATGCCATTAATGCCATTCATTATGCACTATTCACTATTCAATAGGCTACCTTCCAGACCCTACACTCAAGCCCCTCAACTTCGTGCGTGTGCCTGCAGACCGGAAGGAAGGGTTTTGGGGGTTGGGTTGGGTTTTGTGTTGAGGTTAGTTAGTTTCCTTCAATTATTCGCCAGGGTAGCGGGTATACGGTTAATGACGGTTAATGGTTAGGTCCGGTGGCCTAGATTCCCGTGGATTGAAAGTGCGTCCCGATTCAAATATCTTTCGCACCCTAAAAGCTGAACGCTGTTGTCCCTACTTAGGCCCGACTGCAATATAAGCTGCCAGCTTTCGGGCAAGTGGTCACGTAGCCCTGAGCCCTAGGCCCTAGGTGTCGTCGCTACGCCAGTCCATGTCTGTGCAGTACGTCAGTACGTCTCAGTAAGTGCTGTTAGCTGCTACTGCTATAGTATTAGTATGCTAGTAGTACAAGAAAAAGTGATTAGTCGTAGTAATGGTGATAGTTATAGCGGTGATAGTGATGCGTCAGAAGTAATAATAGTGATATTAATAAGTAGTATTAATTAGTAACAAGTGATGAGTAATAAGTAATAAGTAATAGTAGTAGTAGTAGTAGTAGTAATAGTAGTAGTAGTAGTAGTAGTAGTAGTAGTAGTAGTAGTAATCGTAATAGTACTAGTAATAGTAACAGTAATAGTAATAGAACAACAGCTAGAGGCT